ATACATCCACAATTTCAATCAATTCACCTAAACATACACATTATGTTTAATTCACCACAATTCATATAAACATATACAATCATGTTTATTCATTAATTCCTCAGTCAATATCATTCACAATTACACATTCACAATTCACATCATTGCACATAAACATTTACAATTATGTTTATTCATCACAATTCATCATAAAATACACACACACACACACACACACACATATATATATATATATATAACACCAAGCATATTTATCATGCATATATCCAAAGTTCTCAATTCAACAATTCACACACAAGCATACTTTCATATAACAATGATATCTATGCCATGTGACTTATACAAAACTCATCAATTCTCATCAATCTCCATTTGAGATTATGGGTACATCGCTTGTACCCCACCGGGAATAACATCTCGGTCATTCTACCCCGGTGATCATTTCACTAGGAACGACACATAGTCATTCTACCCCAATGAACACCAACACTAGGAACAACATCATAGTCATTCTACTCCAGTGCGTACGACTGTATCACGTATACTCCACTAGGAACAACATCTCAGTTATTCTACCCTAGGGAGCACCCCACCAGGAACAACATCTTAGTTATTCTACCCCGATGATTATTCCACTAGGAACGACATCTTAGTCATTCTACCCCATTGTATACGACCATGTCACTATACCTCACCAGGAACGACATCTGTCATTCTGTCCCGGTGATTATTTCACTAGGAACGATATCTTATCATTCTACCCCAGTGATTACTCCACTAGGAACGATATCTTATCATTCTACCCCAGTGAGTACGAGTTATGCACATACACATATTTCATATAACAATTATATGCACTTAAGACCGTTCTCGCATCTTAATCACATGCATACTCACACATCATATCAAAGTATTCATACTTTTAACATTATCACATTTATCAAGCAATGCACACATATTCCCTAATATGTTCTCATTCATTCTTCATATACAATCGCATACAAACAATATGCATTCACAATATCGCGCCAACGGCAACGAACTCAATCACATTCATCATGCACTTTTAATTAATTTAAACAATGCATATATTTGACAAAATACCACATTTCACAATCGATTCCACAATCTAGGATTCACGCCTTACGGCTACCCACAGCACATCTTATCACAATAGTACACAAACTATTCAAGTCAGATAAGGACTGAACATAATCATACCACACAATCAACATTGGATGGAAAACACAGGAATAGAAAAATGTTGTCACATTCGCTGACCTTCGCCTGGTGAAGCATCTGGCAAATGCTCGCTGCTTCACTAGCCTGGCGAACTCACTAGCGAAGGTAGACAGTAGCTACTGGAAGTGTTCGCTACCACTCGCTACCTCTTTCGCCTGGCGAACACACCAGCGAAAACTGAGTTTAGCCACTGTAATGGTTCGCTACCCACTCGATGGGCTTTTCCTGGCGAACCTTCGCTTCCTTTTCGCCTATCGAACGCTAGAGAATCTGCAAACTCAGAACCCCAAACTGTTCAAAATTGTCCAATCCTCCCAAAATCAACCGATTCAATTCCAATCAGTTCCAATAGTCTTTGCCCAATATTACCCGACTAAACTACGCCACTTATTTCGTATTCTAACCGTTTAAAACTCGATTTCTACTGATTAAACCTCTTTCTGCCCTAAAATGGGGAAATGTAGAAAAACATCCAAACAATCCAAACCAATCATACATAATCATATACATTGACAATATAATGATATTCCACACCCTTACCTTGATTAATCGGAAGCTAGAAGTCGTTCTGATGATTCCAAGCTTTTCCTCTATTTTCTCCTCTTCTCTCTTCTTCCTTCTTTCTTTCTCTTCTTTTTCCTTTCTTTCCTTTCTATCTTTTCTTTCTATCTCTTATATCCCCTTTCTCTTCTATTTCTTTTCTATCCATTATATTTTCTTCTCTCCAATTATCTACCAAATCATTTAAAATAATCATCCAATAATTTCAATAAATCAATTAATTAACATAAATAATTAATTAATGAAAATTGGGTTGTTACAGTGCCTACACCTTTGATAACACTTATAGGGATGAATGGGTCATTTTCTACAGCATTTTATATTTCTTCTCCTTGTGCCTCTGGGTGTGCCTTCATACTAATTTTCCAAAATTCAAAGTATTCACTACAGAATAGTGGAGGCTAGTTATTGGTACTACCATTTCAAAAAATTGGATTTGCGAAAGTCGTTCCTGGATCTTTAGGAATCGGCTACCTATAACCTGCTCTGATGTCAATTGTAATAAGTATTATATTGCACAACCTAAGAGGGGGTGAATTAGGTTTATTAATTTTTAGAGAGAAAGTAACAAACTTTTTACTTCAGAAATATTCGATTTACTTTTACTGATTTTATGAATAATGAACTGATGAATTTATTTTTCTAGTTTAAGATATAAAAGTGATATGCAGAAAAATAAATGCAGTAAAGTAAATTAACTCAGAGAATTATACTAGTTTTCCTTATTAATCAATGGTACATCTAGTCCCCTCATATCCTGTGAGAGACTTTCACTATTATTAGATCTTTGTACAAACCTCACATCAAGATTTCTCTTACAATTTTCTAACAACAACAACAAAGAAGTAAACCACTTCCTTGATTTCCCAAAACACAAACAACAATTGTGGACTTTGAATCACCCTAATTCAAAGGTCCTTTCTAACAAATAGAAGAACAAATTTTTTCCTATTTGCAACAACTACAACAATGGTGAAATATACAGCAATTTTATGAAATATATTATAGACAGACTTTGCAGCAATTATGATAAAATTGATACTATACTACTTTTGTGATGTATGAAAGTTTATTCTTCTTCTTCAATGAATAAGTCAATAGAATATAAACATTTAAGTGCTCAAGACTTTTTCACATATGATTTGAAAATTATGCAGAAAAAGTATTCTGTTAAAATGTTACAGACACTTGAAAAATAAAAAACATGTTCGTGAAGAATGTGTCGTACAATATGAAAGATTATGCAATATATATATATATATATATATATATATATATATATATATATATATATATATATATATATATATATATATATATATATATATATATATATATATATATATATATATATATATATATATATAGTCACGAAAAAGCTCTTTAAAAATCATGACAACGTTTGAAAATAATCAGAATAATTATGCAATGATTCAATAAAGTGTTTCATGAAAAAGTGTCATAAAAAAGAATTGTGTTGTTTCAAAAAATTTCAAAAAAAAAACAAATGATAATCGATTACATATCTCTTACAATCGGTTGCATCCTTTTAACATTAAAACAAATATTTAAAAGTTGCACAATGAAAATCAATTACACATAATAGACAATTAATTGTATTAGGTCAAAACTAAAAGAACCAATCGATTAATTTGATGAATTAACCGATTGTTTCAATTCTATTTCAAAACAAAACAAAAAAAAACGCTTGGCGGTGAGTGTAGTGAGTTTTAACAATCGATTGACACAATAAAAATGTTGAAATATTTCTATGTTAAAAATGACATACTTAAATAAAGATGTTAAAATATTTCTAAGTTAAAAATAACATACTTAAGAATTGAACCCACAATACTTAAGTACCTTAACAAGTCCACTAAACTAACGGGGCAAATCTTTCCTTATTAAGAAAACTCATTAAACATTATTATTGGAAAGATTAAGATTTCTTTATAAAATGCAATTTTGAAACAATACATGTCTTAAAGATTAATTCTGGAGCATCTTATGTTAATAATCATTGATTTAAACATTGTACATTTGTTTATGATTTAATAGTATTGAAATCTAAAATTTGACATAAATTTGATACTTGATTCAATTTTTTTTTTTTGATTTTTTTTTAAAATAATTTTTTGTCTTCATAAAAAAAAAGTAAGAATGATGAGCATATCTTGTTCGCAATTTTTAGAATGGAGAATGTAAAAGACGCTAAAATATAATTTATTATATTGATCTTTTATTCTTTTATTATTGAATATTTGTTAATCGCTCAAGTCATTCTCCCATGTTATAAGAGTAATTTCTTCCATTTTTTTAAAATAAATTAACGTCATTTTTACTTTTATCTTTTCATAAAAAATATATTATCTTTACGATAATGACAATACTTTTTTCATATATATTTTATTTTTTTTTATTAATCTTTTGTTATTATTTTTTGAAATTTTTATGTCACTTTTAATTATTTTATTATTTTTTATAATAACTTTTTTAGATTTTATTGTATTCCGTTACCTTTTAAAATTATTTATTATTATCGTTATGTTTTTATAAAGTATTTATTGATATGATGTTCTTTAATTGAATAGGTATATTTTGTTAATAACTGTGTTGAAATTATGAATGAAAATATTATATTCTGTAAAGAATTTTTGTTTGAGATAAATATAAAGATTTTTACAATAAAATTAGAAGAATAAAACAATAATTTAGTTTTAAAATACTTTCCTCCCCTTTATGCTCCAAACATGTTTGATTTTAAAATCTCTTCCCTACTCATATTTTGAACTATGTGAATCAAAATTTTCCCCTCTCTTTAATAAAAATTTCTTCCCTCCGCTCCTTTCGATTAAATCAAACAAACCTAAAGAATATTCGAATTGTACCAACCAAAAAACACAATCATAAAAGAATATCAACAACTTAACCATGACCAATAAACATGACTTCCAACAAAGTACTAAAAATCCACAACAATGAAAACTGATAAAATATACAAATCCTTGCTGCCACAAAAACTGTAGAAAGTAGTAACCATTAACAAAAGCATGAAGCTAATGGAACTAGGAAATTTACACTTGAAGAATTGACATAAAACATCATAAATGAAAAGTTTTGACCAAGACACTATAGTGCAGAACCATAAACAGAATTCTTACAACTTGCAAAGTGAAAACATCACACAGATGCATATACTACGCAATCGATGCGCGAGTTGTCTGAGCAAACCCGTCTATCCTTTTCTTTAGCTCTTCTGGATTAGCACCAACTATCTTCTCGGATGCAGCACCATCTTTCAGAAGCAGAAATGTCGGCATTGCCTTTATATCATTCTTGGTGGCCACCTCCTGTACCCAAGAAAGTTCAAATTCGTTCATTTCCATCGGTAAACAATATCAAACCATCAGATTGAAAACCACGAAAATCATGTTAAGATTGTATATTATTTAATAACAATAGAAGTTATTGAACCATATTAGTTATCGGTATTGAACTAGATGAATGTAACTATTCTTTCAATAGATGGTATCAGCTTCCTAGTTGTTGTTCAAATTAGCCATCACCTATCCTAATTGTCGCACTTGCGTGATCTTTCCTTTCGGATATGACACTTATTCGATGTGTGGATGATTCCGCTCCTACAAATCCGCAATTGATATAACTCAAAGGGACGGATACCGTTGCTTTTTTGCCTGCGAGACTATTGCGTCAATCAATTATGAAAGACCCTTCAAACCAGAACTTCAAATTCAGCATGTTCCCATGTCTTTTTTGTAGAGAGAACCAAAATTAGCCCTAAATTTAAAAGGTTTTAAGAGTAATTTTAGTTTTTTCAATCAAATTTGAGTCTAAATTCCACCCTAACCTTCCTTCATCGACGTTTTGCATTTCAATTGTTCCAAAGAAAAATCACAAGTTCATCTATCACCTCTCTCTGCACTTGGTTCTTACCTCTACACTTGATATATTTATAATTATTATTCATATAATTATTATTCAAATAGAAGCATTTAAGAAAGAAAAATTACCTTGACTTCATCCACATCAACAGAGAGAAAGAGAAAATCTGGATAATCTGATGCAAGTTCTTCAAAAAACGAAACCATAGCCACCGATGGCATGCACCATGAAGCAGTAAAGTGAACAACAATCTAAGATCCATTCCACAAAAATATGAAAACTGTAAGCATATATCAATCAATCTACCACAACAACTAAAACACCAAATTGAACCAAAACTAGAAAACCCCCTAATCAAATACTCATTTTCAAGATCAGTCATCATAAAAATCCAAACTTTCACTCACAGGGGAATTCTGGTTAGAAGCTTGGTTGACATAGGATTCCCATGATTGCAAAGAATCAATCACCACCACCTTAGGCTTGTTTTGCTCTATGGTTTCCATTAACACCTTCCTTCAACAAAAGAAAATTGTTTTTTTCACTGTTTACTATCTGCAGCTGAAGATGAAGAGTCTTAAAAAAAACAGTGATAGTACTAAATAAGATGACAGCAGACAATGTTACATTATTTTTTTCAAAGGATAAGGACAATAGTTAGAAAATAATAAAACTAATGGCTAATTCAGTTAACAGTATAATTATTGAAGCTGAAATTTGGATAAATATAAATGTATATATTATTATAAATTGAAATAAATGGATTAAATTAAAATAAATATTGAAACAAACAAAAAAAAAAGCATGTCGACAAGAAAACAAGTAGTTGTATTGTTTGTACAAGTTGCAAAAGGAATCAAAGAGATAAAAGAAAAAGATATGGGTATCTTTAAATATTCAATCAAATCATTGATTATCCACCGTTGATCTCAATAAAGACAATGTAGCTCTAGTTCTAATGACCGTTGGATTCAATGAGGCCCACTCAGTCTGAGTTACCGCTGCTTCTGGAACATTCTCCAAGCATAGTAGTCAATTTAAGACTTTTATTTATGAAGCCTTTAACTTTTTTATATTTTACACTTATATACTTGTATGATATTACCTCGTTTTGAATTATAAATTGTTCTATGTATTTTACACAAATTAAAAAATTTAAATTTAAAAAATAATTATTTTCTTTAGTTTAACATTATTTAAATCAATATCTATTTTCATTCAACATTTGTCAAATCATTCATACAAATGTTTTATGGGTGTTGCTAATCAGGGCCTATGGAACACTAGATAAGGAGAATTAAATTTTCTTTGATCATATTTAATTCTTTTAAAAAAAGTTATAATTAAATATACTTTATTATTAATTATTCTAGATAAATTTAATATATTCATTTTTTCATACAATACATATAATATATTTCATTTTTCTCTTGTATAATATATAATACACTTAGTTTCTTTCTCATATAATACATATTAATGTAATTAATGATCTTTAAAAATCTTTATTTCAATATACATCATACATTTTTTTAACAAAATTCTCATAAATTAAAAAAAGCTTAAGCATGTATTAAAGTAATGTTATTAATCAAGAATTAAATATTTTAATTTGAATTAATATATTTTTAACTCTTTAAATAAACTTAAATTCTATCATATAAGTAGCGGTGTCGGTGTTCTATACTTTTATTTTATCGGTGTTGAAGTGTTTATGTTCGTGTTCGTGTTGTGTCTTAATATCTCAATATTCTTGTATTTGTATCGGAGTCCGTGTTTCATAATTTTATGCACACCGATTAAGAAATGCAATAATATTATTACTCTAAAATATTTATTTTTACTAAATTAATCTTATTAATGTATTAGAAATAATAATTCAAAATAATAATCAAAAAATATTATTCAAAAACTACCAATCATTTCAACATTGAAAAGTGATAATTACATTCATTTTAATTTAATTTTTTTCTTTAAAACGACAATCAGTTAAAAACAAATGGAGTAATAACTTTTTATTTGCTTGTGTGATGTACGAATAAGCTTAATTAAATTATTATTTATAAGTATTATAGTTTAAAGAATATATTTAAAATATATTTAAATTATACAAATATCTTATTTATATTTGGTGTGTTTTTTATATAAAAAATAGCAAAATTTTAAAACTTTATATGTTATTAAAAATGATAATGTATATTTTTAATATAATTAAAAATTTGGACAAAAAAATTAAAAATAAATATTCATAAAATTTTGGAACCGTAAAAAATAGTAAAAATATGGTCTCTGTTGTAATTCTTCATACTTTTTAATAATAACTTTTTATATATACAATAACATTTCCATGACTTTGAAAAGAGTAATTTTATCTATATGTGGACGTTCTTGTAGACATTTGATGACCATACAGTTAAGGTTGGGTTTCATGATATGTAAGGCTCCTAGACAGTGTGATATCTGTAACACCCCCTTTTTATACCCCCAAATAATCACATAATCAATTAGTCACATATTAAAATTTTCACCAGAGTATAATTATAAACATGGTATAAAAGGGGCGAGTCACATTACGCATGAAATTAAAACATACAACACCTGCTCAACAAAAGATATGCAACAGTGGGGTAACTTTGTAACAGAGGAACTTAGTCCTTACACCCACATCTCAATGTTTAGAATAAAAGCGGAAAATCTAAACATTGAATAACATCAAATGTATATACATATATACATCATCCAGAATTATACAACAACATAAGTCATGTTTTCATAAACATTCGCCAACAAGATACATATACAAATGTATCACAAAAGAATCATAAACAACCTAGCTATCTGGTGCTACATATTAGAGCCGACCGACCAAAAGAATGAAAACAAGCTTCACAAAAAGATCTCCAGCATACCTACTTTGCAATGCCTCATAGAACATTATAAAACAGCAGAAGGGTGAGAAATATTATCATAACAACAATGCATATAATTATATATCATAGCATAAAATACACATATTCAACATTCTCACCACAATTCAACACGACTCACCCATATACATCACAATGTGTGTGTGTGTGTGTGTGTGTATATATATATATATATATATATATATATATATATATATATATATATATATATATATATATATATATATATATATATATATATATATATATATATATATATATATATATATATATATATATATATATATATATATATATATATATATATATATATATATATATATATATATATATATATATATATATATATATATATATATATATATATATATATATATATATATATATATATATACATATAAATCCAAGCATATTCATCATGCATACTTCCACAATTTCATAATTCCACATAAACATACACAATTATGTTCATTCACCAATGCACCATTATAAAGATGATAAATGCAAATCATAGAGACCGACTCACGACTCTATGCAAATGCAATGCGGTACCGACTCAATCATCTCAAGTTCACTCAGGAACTTATTGGAACCATCGCTCACACCTCACATAGGCACACGATGTTCACCCATTGCTCACACCTCACATAGGCACACAATGTTTATGGATTACTCACACCTCATATAGGCACACAATCCGATTACTCACACCTCACATAGGCACACAATCGCTTGTAATCATCGCTCACACCTCACATAGGCATACGATTTTACAACGGATTCTCATTAGAATCCCACAATACAAGAATGCATATCATTATGCTTCACATGCAAAATGACTCAAGACACTCTTGAAATACATACATATTCACAATATATTCATGCATTCATCTCATACTATCACATACAATCGATATACACAATCACATCAATTATGCCAAACGGCAACGAGCATCGCTTTACCACCTAAACGGTAACGAACTCTATCACAATCATCATGCATTCACATTTAATTTAAACAATGCATATAATCCGCCAAAAGGCCATAATTCACAATAAATTCCACAATCTAGGATTCACGCTTGGCTACCCACAGTATTTCATATAACAGCACACAAGCTACACATTCGGGATAAGGTTAATCACATATGAGTCAAAGAATCGATATTGGATGGAATAAAAAGAAAAATGTTGTGTTGTCATGCTCGTTAGGCGAGCAGAATGGCGAGCCCTTCGCTACTCCACTCGCTCCAGCGAGTTTGGGTCTTTTTGGTTCTGCCCAAGTCTGGGAGTATTCGCTGACAGCTCGTTGGGTGCTCGCTTAGCGAACCCTTCGCTACCTCACTCGCCAGTGACTCGCCTAGCGAATACTTCGCTACACAAACCCTCCATAATCCAAAAATGTCAAAAAGTCACAAAATCACCCGATTTTATTCAAACAAGTTTCAATAGTCTTGGCCTAACATTCCTCGACTAAACTACACCATTTATTTCGAATTCTAATCGTGAAAACATCGGTTTCTATCGATTTAATCCTAATTCGACCTAAAATGAAAAATGTAGAAAAACAACCAAACAATCCAACCAAACACATACATAATGATATACATTGATGAGATAATAAGATTTCACACCCTTACCCGATTAAATCGATTCTTAGAAGTTGTTTTGAAGATCTACAAGCTTTTCCTCTTTTTCTTCTCTTTTCTCTTCTTCATATTTCTTTCTCTCCTTTTTCTTCTTTCTTTTTCTTTTCTCTCCTCTTTCTCTCTTATAACTTTCTATTCTAATTCTTTCTATTACTTTTCTCTCAAAATATCTAATAAATCATTTTCTCATAAAATATCTAACTTAACATTAATTAAGAAATATCTAAAATACCCTCCAACCTAATTTCCCCGAAAACTCTCAAAAGCGATAAAATAACCCAATATGCAAACATAACATATTAACACACCAACTCCACAAATAAAATAATAATCACCCAAACAAAATAAAAGACTCAACAAAAATTGGAAATCAGAATCGGGGCGTTACAATATCAAAGTTTGTATAGAAAGAAGGGATGTATATGGTATGAATATAATAAAGATATTGGGGAGAAAATCACTTAAATATGGAAACACCTGAACCAAACACTCAACCTATTACTACTACTTCTTCTTTAACGCTTCCTAAACTCTGTAAAAATATTAATTCTCATAAAATAGAAAACCTTATAGAGTACTCCCATGTTCCAGAAGATGCTCAAATTGACGAAATAATACCTCCTCTATTAAGTTCGTACAACATCTTCAAAAGACAAAGAAGTCTTACCAGATCCATTCGAAATCTTATCTCTACAAACTGCCCACACATGAAAGAATACGTCCAGTCATCTAGATTAGACCAATGCAGCCTAAGAGCTACAAACCAGAAGCAGTACGTAGATTTGGAGATTTCAGTATCTCATAAACCACTGGAAGACTGAAGGATATACAGCCTTACACTTTGGGGTTGTCAGACTCATCATTTCACTTCATGGAAGGAAGAACCAGTCTGTCTTTTGCAAAATAGCTCTACTAGACTCCAGCTACATCCACTATGAAAATGATGTGATAGGAATTGTTATAACTACACTTCATGCAGGAAGTCTAGTCCTCACCATCTCCCCAAACTATAACATAAGCCTTAATGATAATACTTTATCCACTAGACTGAAAGTACTGGTCCAAATCATCAGATCTGACCAAGTGCTAGAAGCCATGTCAGCTACCCTTCATCACCAGATAATATACCGCTTACAAAATCACTCGATAGATCTTCCTCTCTTAGGATGCTCTTCTGATTCACTATTAGTTGTCACCAACAAAGAAGAAGACATACCCTCCATAGTTCAGATTCTGAGAAGGATCACAAGGGAAGAATCAACTCAACTACTTCCTCTTGAATGGATAACCAACTATGAGAGATTCCATGTTGACAAAAGACATATCCAATCTCAAGAGGCTACTTTCAGGAGATCTGTTGACAAGACAGTCAAGATGATTTTCAAGAAGCCAGACGAAGGGTCGAGCTTAATATCTCTGATCTTCCAAAAAAACCAGTTCTAAAAGAAGACTAGTGACATATCTATGTTGTTACAACAGAGGGAAAACCTATATACACTGATAAAATAGATGGCCAATTCATTTGGGATGTTGATCCAACAAGATTTGACCCGGATTATGACTGTTGGATGCACAACAATGATATTGACTAAGATACCATTCTTCCCAAAACAAAGAAAAGAGGAAGGTGTGAACCCTTTCCACCTCCTCAAAGGATATCTGATCCAGACAATGGTTCATGGATATGAATCCATGGAAAAAATAAATCACTATGTATCTACGAGGAAGGACTTAAGATTCTCAAGAAAGAAGGGTTGTTACCACCTAATGATCCGACTGTTATTACATGGTCACCAACAGACCATTGCAAACCGCTATATCCTCCAGTTGTTGCTCAGCCAATTCCTTGCTTTATGTATTCAACCACAACTCTGTAGTACGACCGACAATTTTCTTCTTTGGAAAGAAAGATGGATCCAATCACAGGCAGAACATCTAAACCCTTCATTCATCCGAGTGAAGTCTATCCTGATGGGAAACTTAAACCTTTAACTCAAGCTGAAGAAGTTATGAGTTAGCAATCTGAAAACATGGTTTCTCAAAATGAAATTCTCCAAAACCTTGACAAAAAGGTAGATAAGATTGCTGAAAAATAGATGAAACAGATGAGGATCTCAAGGTTTTATCTCAAAAAATGTAGAAACATTACAGAAGCTTGAAATCCCAAGTATCCCAGCTAGATCGGGATTTGCGACAAATGTTAGAAGAGAGAACTTTTCGTAAAACATTTAACCAAAAGGAAGGAGAAATTAGAAGTGTACAAGGCCAAGTAAGAAAGATAGATGATTTCTTAAGAGCCTCTCATGAAAGAAACCCCACGCCTGTTGAAAACTCTTGCTTTGACCCTCCTGCGTTTCCTACATATTTCAAACGACTAGAAAGGCCTTCTCCTTTCTACCCTACCTATGTTTCATCACCACCAGACCATGTCAAATACATACCTACAGCTTACAGACTAAAATCTTCCAGAACTACCACTACCTCAACCTCCAAGACAAAAGGGAAAGTTGCCTGTTTGAGCGATTTATCCTCAGACTCTCAAGATATCCATGAAAGACCTCCTCCAAAAATCCAAAAGGAAGAAGAAATTCTTAATAAAGGTTTCCTATCCATGACAATCACTACAAACTATGAATCTCCCCAGAAAAATTACTCTAAATCATCAAAACAAAAGGGAGATGAGTCCTTCTCGAATGGTGACAATGACTCTAATCAAGAATCATCTTCTGATGAAACACCAAGATCTTTTTCAACTAAATTAGAATCCGAAGACAACTATATCTCAAGACTCTTCGTGGCAAATATAAAAGAGTAAGAATCCATTTTTGAAGAAGAATCCCCTGAAGAAACTATAGTCCCTTAAAGAACTAAACCAAATGGCAGTCCTTGGTTCACCTTTGGTGATATACCACCTAGCCACTGGAGAAAGAGACTACTTGAATTTAGAGCTTGACTTGACACCCAAATGATGAAAACAAGTGTAGATAGCTATAAGATCATTGAAGAATTTTGCTGTAGAATGACAGGCACGATGAAAGAATGGTATCACAATCTTGGAGCTTTCAAACGAGATGAGTTACACTGTCTAGAAACTACAACTAGTTTTCTTGGGGTTCTTCATCGAGAATTTATCAGTGATATGGAGATATTTGATAGGAAAAGCAGACAAGAATTCTTTGAGATAAAATGTTGTTCTCTCAAAACAAAGGACCTCAACAAACATTATCATAGGATGGCACAGAGGTATTATATCCTTAATGGATATAATGACCCTAGTCTCAAGAATACCTATGCATCCTCTCTACCACAAGAACTCCAGCCAGAAATTCATAGGATGTTAGCCACGGCTCAAAAGGATATTAAAACCATGAGTCTTGGCTAGATTCACCATGTGACATTAGAAGCACTTGAAAAGCTTTGCAGTTTTCATCATCAATTTCCAGAAGTTATAGAACAAAAGTCAAAGTTCACCCAAGCATGTAAGAAGCCCTACCTGGAGGTTAAGTGTAAAAACAAAAGGTGTAGTTGTCCAACAAAAAAGAAACATCAAAAATACACCAAATCTCACGGGACCTTCAAGTGAAAGAAAAGAAATAATATGAAGTTCTTTAGAAGAAAGCCTTTCAGAGGAAAGAGGAAAAATCAGAGATGTTTTATTTGTGGAAAAAAGGGGAATTTCTCAAAAGAATGTCCTAATAACACCCATAAAGCCACAAAACTAATTAACTTTCTTCAGCCTCTAGAAGGAAACTTAGAATCTTTGTATTCTAAATAAAGCTCTGCTAATGAAGAAACAAATTTTCCCTTCAAGACTCTTCGTCTGATGAAGCATCAATTTTCAGAGTTAGAAGATGACAAATATCTCCTTGTTTACTCCTTCAAAGAGATAGGCAGTTCTCTTCCTACTACACCACTTCCTTGTGTTGAAGTTCATGTCCCCGTAATAAAGTTTTCCCGTCCGAAGAAAGTTATAGCTTATATGGACATTAGGGCCTAGATTACAGCGATGAATCCCAACATACTCCCAACAGAATCATAGGTGACACATGCTGCACACTTTATAGCAGCGGATGGAAAAGTTTTCAAGACAAATTTAACGACCAAGGAGAAAATAGGAATTAGATTCTTCCCTAAATGCATAGTCTAGACCAAGGCCATTGGCAGTAATCTTCCAAACAAAGATATTGTAGTAGGAATGGATGTCTATTCAGCAGCAAGTAAACTTCAAATTCTCCCCACAGGAATCAAATTCAAAAGAGAATTCAAACCTTATTTTGGGATATTGAAACTATATTCACTTTCTAAGATCCCTACTGGCTATGATAAAATCAAGTCTAACCTTCTCAAACTATGTGCAGACAACCATGAAAAATTCTGCCATCCAAAATCTCTATGGAAGAATAAAGACTTATTCGTTCAACTTCCCTTCAAGCTCAATGAAGATGTTAATCTAACCAAGGTCGCTCATCCAGAAATGAGTCCATCAAATTACTCATTAGCCAAGGGAGAATGCAACAGCTGCTCAAACAAGGTCTGATAGAACCCACCAAATCAGAATGGGCTTGCCAAGCACTCTATGTGGAAAAGAGATCTGAAAATTTGAGGGGAAAAAAGAGGCTAGTAATTGATTACAAACCTCTAAATCATTTCCTCAAATATGATAAATTTCTCATTCCAAAAGCCTCATCATTAAATGTTTTCATCAAAGATGCTCAGATCTATTCTAAGTTCGACTTTAAGTCAGGATTTTGGCAATTGGGTGTCGACCCTAAGGATCGTTACAAAATGGTGTTCTGCATTCCTAACGCCCAGTACCAATGGACATTGTTACCATTTGGGCTTAAGGTAATCCCATCACTCTTTCAAAAGGCCATGACTAGAATTTTTTAGCCCATCCTCAGTAGTATCATCATCTATATTGATGATGTGTTATTGTTCTCAAAAGATGAAAAAACCCATAAACAATTATTGGGCCAATTTCTTCAAATAGACCAACAATATGGCATGATGCTCTCTGAAAAGAAAAGTCAATTGGAACAAACTGAAATTGATTTTTTAGGGATGTATTTATCCCAAGGGAAATATCAACCCCAAACTCATATTGCCCAAGAACTGTTAAACTTTCCTGATGAAAATCTCACAGTTAAGCAAATCCAAAAATTTCTTGGTATAATTAATTATATCTGAGATTTTCTGCCAAAACTAGTAAGATACACGAATGCTATATCCCAAATGCTGAAGAAAAAACCTCCACCATAGGGAACAAAGCAAACTGAAGCAGTGAAAGCTTTGAAGAAGATCGCACAAACTCCTCTTGCCCTAAAAATCTCTAGGAATGACAAAAGAATTATGCAGGCCGATGTCAATGATCACTATTGGGGAGCAGTCGTGATAGAAGAACTTGAAGGAAAAAGATATTATTGTGGACATGCTAGTGGCCAATTTAAAGAAGCTAAAAAACACTACCACACCACTTACAAAGAAGCCCTTGTCGTAAAAATAGGAATCCAAAAGTTTGACTTCCACCTAAGAGGCTATCAATTTGAAGTCCAGATGGACAATTCCTCTTTCCCTAAGATCCTTGAATTGAAAAATAAGATGACTCATAATCCTCAAACTCTTAGACACAAAGATTGATTTTCCATATATGATTTTTCTGTAAAATATATTAAAGGAACCCAAAATGTAATCACTGACCTATTATCCCTACCTATGAAACCTATCCAGATCATCACAGCCAAGCACACTCTCCCTCTAATTCTTATGGTCAAACTACTACCAACCCATACATCCACAACCAAGAATCTTCCTCCAGGAATAACGATATCCTTTTCAACGTCACAACTCAGTCAGTATGCCAGGAACAATCTCTTCTATTACATGACAAAAATCATAAGGAATAAACTACCAGATCATAGTCCTTATTTCCATATACACATTTTCTCCTACTAATTTTAATAAACCCAAATGCTAAATTCACAAAAAAAAAAAACCATTTGTGGTATATCCGATGTGCCACCTGTTTGTACTATATGCCTGTTCTTATTCCCACTAAGGCCATGTATCAACATATAATGAATCCTGAGAACCACAAATCTTTGACTCGGACTACTCTTGAATGGTACTCTCCATTACAATGGTGGAGAGATCAATTAAAACCAGTCATAGACAAGGTCAAAGAACGGAGATTATCTTCAGAAGATACTGGCAAACTCAAGTATGTTTTCTTTCTACACAGGCCATATCTGACAGATCCTGCAACTAAGCTGCTTAATTGTAAGAGTTATGTTCACCTATGGAAAACCATTGATGAATATCCTCCCAGTCTAAAAAGCACAAGGGAATTATTAGAGTATGTTAACTACATCAATCTTTATGATCCAAAGAACCTCGATGATAGTTCAACTTGCATACATTATAAAAAGTTCAGAAGACCAGAAGTTGGAGAAAGCTCAACTCAAGCCACACAATAGAAACCGGATTCTCCAATGGAAGCTTAATTCTATGAAGGACAAGTGGAAGAAGCTAATATGAGATTAGAGGATCACATCTACATGACAGATGACATCTGGCAGCGTGAGTCATCTTATTATGGAGATTGCTTTTCTGATGAAAATTTATTCAATCAGAATATGTCCCCTCTCATGAACCCATTTGCAAAGACTAAATGGACAACTGTCCTTCAAAGGTCACAAGCATGTTTATAAATAGTAAATTTCATCTTTTTGTGCAATAAGACTACAATAATGTAATCCATAAGTGATAAGTGTGTCGGACTTTTGAAATAGACATTCATATAATATTAAAATAACATGCTTGCAAATAGTGTTGCTTTTGTCCTATAAGTACCTTCTTGGCTATAAAAGAAGAGCTCTTGTAACATATTTTCATGAAGCAATCACAAATAAACTCTCTTGTGTGCTTAAGAACAAACATGTTCTAAAAATCTTTTATTTCTCCCTCAAAGCTTTAGTTATTGTATTCATATCATAATTTTCCCATAGATGCAAGTATCCTCTACACCTACCACTAAATGAAGATCCCTCAAAGCTTTAGTTATTGTATTCATATCATAATTTTCCCATAGATGCAAGTATGCTCTACACCTACCACTAAATGAAGATCTTGTGTATCAGAAAACATCTAACCATTGATCCATACTACGGTCTTTACTATTATAAAATTTCAGTTTTAATTGTTAGTCTATGTTATGTCTATGGTTGGCTATTTGATGACGATACAATTAAGACTGGGTTTCATGATATGTGAGACTCCTGGGCAATGTAGAATCAGAGCCTGTACATAAAGAATGGGTGCATATGGTATGAATATAATAAAGAAAATGAGTAAGGGAGAAAATCACTTAAACATGGAAACACCTGAACTAAACACTCAATCTATTACTACTTCTTTATCGCTTCCTAAACTCTGTAAAAAAATTAATTCTCATAAAAATAAAAAACCTTATTAAATCCTCTCATATTCTAGAAAATACTCAAATTGCTGAAACAATACCCTCTCAATTGTTGTAGATGCCAAAACAATTTCATCAACATAGAATAAATAGATAACCATATACAATTAAATAAATATAGAAATAGGAAATGATAAAAGTAACTTCAATTCTGACGGCAAAATTACAAAGTAACTTAATAACTTTTATATTTAATCAACATTCAACAAATAATTGACTTAACAAAAAATTAAATTGAAAAAAGAAAAAATTATAAAAATAGGCTAAAAATAGGAAATTATAAAAATAGGCTAAATTACAAAAATTTAAATGACTTATTAACTTTTATATTATTTCATCAACATTCAACAAATGATTGGCTTAATAAAAATTAAAAATGAAAGAAAAATAGGTAACCGTATCACAATTAAATAAATATTGAAATAAATATTTATAAAAGTTGCCACAGTTTTGACAAGTAATCAACATTGTATAGGACCAAAAACCATTGCAAAGAATAGTCAAATGATGTATTTTCCATTACTACATAAAGATTACAATCAGCAAACTGCTCAAATAAAATAAATTTTGTAATATCACAGCTAAATGATACAGGACAGGGCAATCAATATCCATTGAAGCTATAGGCTATAGCCAAGCCTCTCTACAAGCTCAATTCTCTAAATGTTAACACAATTACATTTACCCAAGACTAAAAAACAACACGACACTTCTCTTATATCCCTGCAAAAGGATTTCAAACAATAGTTATTTTGGTTATTGGTCTGAGCGATGTCATTGGCTAGCAGATCTTTGTTATTAGCCGTAGCTCAAGCGAGAATCGGAGGACTTCGTTGATGTCTGGCGGCGAGGAATACCAATCTCGCAACTATTTACTCTTGCGGCAAAACGAAGAGAGCAAAGCGACT